ACCTGGTAGAGCAGAACGCTGATCATTTTATTAAAGATGAAAGACTTTAGACAGTTTTTCAACTCTCAGTAATGCCACAGTGATCGTTTGATATATGGACCTGCAGTGGAGTTTAGGCCCAGACACGGCTAGTGACGTCAGACTGAACGACCGGATTTGTTTCTCTGCTGGATGTGTTTGGGAATAATTGAAATGTGTTGCGTGTATTTCCAGGTCAGCCGGGGTCGTGCATGCGTGTCTTTTCCACCTTGCCCTTCGCTCCATGTAACAAGCGTACCTGCTCTTACGCCAGTCGTAATGATAAATCCTATTGGCTAACGACAATGGAGCCTGTCCCACGTGAACACGTGAGTGGACCCAGCATCCAAAACTACATCAGCCGCTGTGTGGTGTGTGAAGCCCCATCCCTACCCATCGCAGTGCACAGCCAGTCCAGACAGTCTGTGGAGTGTCCCGAAAACTGGACAGAACTGTGGGACGGATACTCCTTCGTCATGGTGAGTACTGCAGTGGTGCCAGATTATTAAACTACGTTGCTACTGCTGTTACTGGTGCTACTGTGTAGACTAAAACCTAAGTCTAAGCTACATTAAACTTCACTTATGTAAACCAGAGTTAAACTCTTAAACTTCGCTGAAATTTAGACTAAACTGACCAGTCGTAATAATACCACAATCATCTGAAATGTGAGCTCTGTGCAGATGATGATGTAATTTCCCATGTGTCTAATAGCATACAGGCGCAGGTGATGAAGGTGGTGGCCAGCCTCTGACATCATCAGGTAGCTGTCTGAAAGCATACAAGGCCCAGCCGTTCGTGGAGTGTCAGGGGCCTCGTGGAACCTGCCACTTCTTCGCCAACATGTACAGTTTCTGGCTGACCACCCTGACCGACCCGGCGATGCTGACCAATGACCAAGAGCAGAGGAGGAGCATTGCAAAGTGCAAAGTCTGCATGAGGCTGTGAGCGGGAGGGCTGCCACCTCCACCTGTGTGAGACAGAGAAGAGATGCTTCATCTCCACATCTTTCTCAAGGAAATCGAGAGGACGCATCACTTCCTCCAACTTTACGAGGCAGGAGGGAGCGAGTGAGGATGTGCAGGACTGGTGTGTTTGTCTCTGTGAGGAGAGACCGTCGTCTTACAGTCAGTCAGCTGCTCGGCTGATAATCAATCAGTCCTGATCTGCATCAGCTCAGCACTCGCATCATTACATTCATCAGTAGGTGGGTTATTAATGAAACTACTTTAACATAAATAAATTTGCCTAAATGCTCCAAAAAATACTTTAAAAACATGACTTCACAGGAAAGCGCCACACATTGTGGTTCGGATGCCCTTCCTGACACGTGCGCCTCTTTCATCTGTCACTCGAATTTGGAAACTGTAAATATTCATATTTGTAAAAACGGCAGCGACGGACATTCAGGCTACTTGCGTCAGCTCGTGAGGTTAGTGAGTCCTTCTCTGTGCAGATGACAAACAGACTTTCTTTTGGATAAAATAGTCTCATAATATACTTAACATCCAATCTGCAGCACATAGCTGTGTTTTACAGCAGGTCACTTTCCGAGGTTCGTGCTTGGATGTGTTTTTATTCCGGTGTGTAACAGGGTTGGGTACGCAGCCTATTATCCAGTTTTTATATGATATCACATGTGATTTAGTTTCCTTTAATTAATTCAGAGGTGGCTTTATCTGCAGCTCCGTGTGTGTTCTTGGGCTCCGCGAGAGTAACTTTGTATGAAAGACAGTTCAAAATAATCCTTTTCTATCTCACATGTACTGTAAACGAGCTGTTTTAGCTGCTTGAAATATTATAAATATAAGTGACTGATATTAATATTTAATGTACATAGCTAACAGTCTAAGAGCCTCTAAAACTTTTCATGTTTTCTTTTTTATTGTCTTTTCTGTGGTTGTTACAGTTCAGCATTACTCAGGGATGGAAGTAACCAATTAACCGAAACAATCTAGTCTTTCTGTAATAATTCTTTTTGAGTCATTTTAGGTGTTTGCCATAAATATAATTAAAAACAAAAAAACAAAAAATTCCTGTGAACTACAGGCTGGGAAATGACAGCGAATCAGAATGAGCCACATTTCTATCCCAAGTGTTTGTAAAAGTCAGACTGCAGCTCTAAGCGAAGCTTCAGCTGCCACAGTAACATGATTATAATACTAATACACACACAGATACAAAGAAACACAGTCAGGGGGAAACGGAGCGAATGAAAAAGCCATGTGCTGTTGCTTACACTCTATCTCAGCAAGTTTGACAGAGAAATGAACGTAGTCGGGGGTTAAGGTGGAATTCAGCAGGGGGCTGTAGAGCTGTCGGCTCTGTGAGCAGGTTTTGTGTGCAGACTGTGATCAGCTGTAACTAAGATTGAGGAAGTGATTCCTCTGCTCTTATCTTCAACACGACATAGAGCAGTTAAAGAAACTCTGCTCCTACAGAGATGATTATCTCATTCATGGTGCTTGACTCGCTGGTATAACTCTGATTTAGAAGATCATCGTTTAGCCTGGAAAAATTATTTTGTGCTTTATAAGAAAGCCCTCCATAGAGCTTGAACATCTTACTATTCATCACTGATTGAAGAAAATAAGAACAACTCTATGTTTGCTGTTATGGTCTACAGGCCTTTTAGGGTCACAGCTTTAAACCTTTACTCAAAAAGCAACTCTAGACCCAGCAGTCTTAGCTAATTATAGGCCAATCTCCAACCTTCCTTTATATCAAACATTCTTGAAAGAGTAGTTGTCAAACAGCTAACAGATCATCTGCAGAGGTTTATTTGAAGAGTTTCAGTCAGGTTTCAGAGCTCATCACAGCACAGAAACAGCTTTAGTGAAGGTTACAAATGATCTTCTTATGGCCTCTGACAGTGGACTCATCTCTGTGCTTGTCCTGCTAGACCTCAGTGCAGCGTTCGATACTGTCGACCATAATATCCTATTAGAGCGATTAGAACATGCTGTAGGTATTACAGGTACTGCACTGCAGTGGTTTGTATCATATCTATCTAATAGACTCCAGTTTGTGCATGTAAATGGAGAGTCCTCTTCACACACTGAGGTTAATTATGGAGTTCCACAGGGTTCAGTGCTAGGACCAATTCTGTTTACATTATACATGCTTCCCTTAGGCAGCATCATTAGAAGACATAGCATACATTTACACTGCTATGCAGATGACACCCAGCTCTATCTGTCCATGAAGCCAGATAACACACACCAATGAGTTAAACTGCAGGAATGTCTTAAAGACATAAAGACCTGGATGGCCGCTAACTTTCTGCTTCTTAATTCAGATCAAACTGAGGTTATTGTACTCGGCCCTGAAAAGCTTAGAAATATGGTATCTAAGCAGATTCTTGCTCTGGATGGCATTACCTTGGCCTCCAGTAACGCTGTGAGGAACCTTGGAGTCATGTTTGACCAGGACATGTCCTTCAATGCACATATTAAACAAATATGTAAGACTGCGTTCTTCCATTTGTGCAACATCTCTAAAGTTAGAAATATCCTGTATATATCTGTCATCCCATGTCTATATAAATAAAGCTGAACTGAATTAAATTTGATGGATTTATTTTTTGTTTTTTTGCTTGCTGTAGAAAGATTGCTGAGACGTTTACTGATCACAAAGAATACCTTCACGTATTTGTAGTTTTAAAGCCACAATAATTTAAATGTTTCACTTTCATAGAGCAGACTTTAGAGCATCCTGTTTCACATGGAAGCAAACAGAGCTGGACTAGAACCCAAGGAAATGGAAAGATGGTTGGAGTCAATTTCAGTAGGTTCTGTGCGTTCTTGAGGAATTAGACTACGCGTCAAAAGAATAATATGTTGGTAAACAGATTTTTAATAGTCCTGATAATTAGTTTTTAATACTCATTTAACAATTCATCATCACAACTGGTTACCAATCTATATGTTCATAAAAAAAGATATAAACCCCACTTCTTTTGATTTTCACATATTCATTTCTAGGGCTGCAGCTATATGATGATAATAATAAACATTGCTCATTAAAAAAAACTAAAGTTTAACTGCATACAACATCTGTCAAAAACCCCAAAACAACTTTTGGTTGTAATTATGTGCCATATTAAAATTTGTTATAAAGATAAACATCTTCTTAAATGCAAAAATATATAAATAATCTCAAGTCCAGTCAAAGTAAAATAAATAAAGACATATGCAATCTAAACCAAGGCATAAAGAAATCTGCTCTGTCTCGTTGGACGGCTGTAGGAAGCAAAAAGAGCTCGGACAGTGTTAGAAAGCTTGCATGAGGTAGAGCTGGTGTGAGTCTGTTTGTGAGTGAATGACACTGATGTGGTGGTGAATGTGTTGGCTGCACTGAAGAAAAGCATCCTGAAGTTTGTGCTGCTGAAAACAAGACGTTGGCATAGACGTTAATTAATATTAATTATGATTTCCTGTCCAACCCCTCGGCTCAGAGTTTTACTGGTCCATACAGGGCCTGGACTGGCATGATCCGGGTGGCTGTGATCACTGTGGTCTATAATCAGAATCTATATTTCTAGGTTTTAATCAGGTCGGTCCACCAGCAAAGTGCCCGGTGGGCCAGATCAGCAGTCCAGCCCTGCACACACATTTTTATTTACTTGTGAAAAAGCTGTTATTTGTATAATTTTAATATTAATGCAATTTAAAGAATATAATGTTTTATTTTCACTTTAAACCTGAAAAAAGTTGCAAAGCCTTGAAGTTAATATGGTCTGGTACACCCCGCGCCCCCCCTTTGACTCACCCCTGTTTGCTGCAAGTACCTTCAGTGTGAAACAGGCGGTGTGGTTTAAACATGTATCAGTTAAAAAGAAATCGGTGGTGTGTGTCGAAGCTAAAGTTTGTTTTCTTCACGTCAGACTTTCCTGATCAGTGCTTCGTGTTATCGGTGTTTTTAAACTGAGGCCTATATGGGCGTCATATGTCAAAGACTTAACTCGGTGAATCGTTGCAGTACTCGTAATCGTTCCTGTTACTTCCTGTTACTTCCAGCATCCCGATGTTACATTCTGCGTTTCTTTTACGTGCGTCATCCGTACCTGAAGTTTGGATCTGCGACAGAATTTTGTTTGAAACGTTACTAAATTTGGAATGAAGTCCAAAAAGCAAAAACTGGAACCGTCTGTAAAGCCACGTGACCTTGTTTTTGGGATGAGAGTCTTTGAAGTGGTCTCAGATGCTCTGAGCTCCTCTACATGTCATCATCCTCTTTATGAGCCTTCATCCACCTACTGAACACCAATGTCCACCACACAAACATGTTCAACCCCACTTTGATCTGTAACAGTTTGTCCCTCCTCTATTGTAAATTTGATTGAAACAGGTTTCATGTATTTATTATAATTCTATTATTGCAAAAACAAAATAAAGCATCAGGATCTAAGTTACAGAGTTAATATGCTGCGTTGCTGTTGCGTCAGGGCTGATGGTACATCCTGTAACAGCTGACTGGCCAGGATGACGTTCTCTCCTCATCAGAGACCAATGACAAACAAACAACTCTAGCCCCGCCTCCAGCCCCGCCTCCAGCCCCTCCACAGCCTGGTCAGGACTGCCTGGAAACCCTTTTCGTCGGTCTGCTGAGAGACATTATGACTGAGCTTGTAATCACTCTGATTGGTCAGCTGCGAGGCAGTGACTCCATGTCATTGGTCAGTCAGTATTTTGTAAATAAGTAGAGGAAGAATAGTGTGAGAAGCTGTGAATATATCTGAGAATAAACCTTGAAACGTGTCTTTGGAGCTTCTCCATCATCTCCATGTTTGTTAATCATGTGTTTGAGTTTTCAGCTCGTGGCTCATTTAAACACTAAAGATGTGTCACACTGCCAGACTGAACCAGGACCGGCAGCCCGGGTCAGCATACCCGAGATCTCTTTTCCTCATCGTCTTTGTTTGAGCTTTAGCTTCATTCAAGCTAAGAGGTTAGACGAAGGTGGTCATCAGCTCAATACGTGCACCAATCAGAAACCAGGACAGACGACTGGCAGCAGAGCGGCTGATTTTCCAACAAACGCAAAAATGTTGTATAAGAAAAGTATGAACAAGTTCTCCACACAACACGAGCTGAAAGCTACATCGTGAATGTGATAGATGGAGATCAGCACCATCATTCAAACAGCAAACACTAGATATATATATTAAATAGTTTTATTACTCATCTGGAAGACAAAGCTTTGGTAATAAAGTTTCTCCTGCAACATGTTTCTTAGTGTTTCAAAGACAAAGACGTTAAGCTGTCTTTACAAAGTAGACCGCTCGTCTTTTCCCCTGCACACTGAGCTCTGAGGGATCTCTGGGATGCTCTAATTTCTTCTTGAGCATGCTCTGCTGCACAACTTACCATCATGATGTACCTGAATAAGAAGTAAAGCACCTTTGTATCCCCCAAACACAGGCTTAAGCCTCTGTAAGCCTTGAATGGTGCTCCTGGCACAGGCCTGGGAAAGGCTTGTGTTGTTTTCATGTTGCACATTCGTCCCGTGATGCTGGTTTTTAATCAGTGGTTAGCATTTCTTTGTGTTACTGATAAATGCCTTGATGAGAATTAAACCAAAAATGACTGTCATGCATTTATATTTACTTCGTTTTTGGTCAAATCTACAGTGGAGACTTTCTAACTTGGGTTCGGTTTCTTTGTTTGGGTCGTTGGTCTGGCTCAGTGTTTTCTTCGTGATGATTTGTAAATATGTTTGAATGTCACAGTTTTATATTTTTACTGTAAACCTCATCAGAGTATTTATTTAGCTTGAAATTAATGTTGACGCTATTTGATGCTAAAATCATACAGATTTTTATTTCATTTTGTAAACCCTGACACCCTGAAGCCCCGCCCACATTCTCCACCAAAGTTAAATGCCAAAGATCACGTGACTCATTTCAGCCACAGCTGACCTCCTTCATTAAACTGTTAAAGGTCGACGTTTTCGCGTCGCGTTTTCTTTTTAGGCGAATCGTTATTTCAGAGATAAAACTCACTGTAATGTTTGAGTCATTTAAATCTGGACCAAAGCCAAGATTTAACTACAGTTCCCATGAGTCTTTGCGAGGATGAAGAGGCGGGGCAGTCACTGTGTCTTGATTATGTTCTTATGGTATTAAAATCTGTCGCTGGTATTTTTATTCTCTGTAGACTGAAACGCCTCACTAACACTTGTGACATATTTTACTCTATGTGGATGGACAACGCTTCAATAAACTGCATCGAACTTTCACCCCGTCTTTGTTTTACTGTCAGACATCAGAAAGGAGGCTGGTATTCAAAATACTCTCAGGTTTGTCTACTAGAGCTTTGTGGACTTTATAAAACGTCATCGTGCTCTGAATCTCATCGATCACTGTTTCTCTAGAGAACTAGAGTTATTATAGTAACCAAGGTGCTCTGTCTCACATATTGTTTTTTACTGTAACTTATACACGTTCTGTAACTTTGACGGTTATGTGCTGTGTATGGTCCAATGACAGCAATAACATCATTATTCCATAGTGAATTGGTCAGCAGAAATAAAGCGGTCGCAGGCAGCCTGGATTCAAAGTAAATCCAAACTAAGATGTACGAGCAGCTGAATCATCACCGATGTTTTTCATAGGCCTGCAGAGAGTCCAGTAAAAACATTTCCAACAGATGAGAGCAGATTCGCTCTGA